TTGAGATGATTTTGACTGATTTTACAAAGAAAACTACCTTGAAATTGCTCTCAAAGTAGCAGAAATGTTTGATTTTTACCAAAGTTCAAAAGTAAACAAATCATGCTATGCGTCCAATACATGTCAACTGGTAAGTCTAATATTCTTTCACAAGTGTGCTGATTATATTTATACCATTTCTACATCAATGCAGTAGTCTGCATAACAGTAAATCTTCTATTTTTTTGTGAGAATAAAAATTCAAAGTGGAAAGCAAAAGAATGTAAGAGGGGCATGGGGATTAATAATGACACAGGAAATGTTTTTTTAGTCCCAGGAAGTCTTTCTTGTTTATTCTGGACCCCTTTGGGGGAATTTGGCATTTTTTAAAATTTGGAATTTGGCAAAATTGCAAAATTCTACCACTGTATTGGATATTAAAAATTGAAAAAATGGGTGGTTTCTTGTATCATTCGATAGAAAAAAATGGAGTTCTAGCGAAATATTTATGGGGGGGGGGGCAAGTACTTTGGGAATTGGGAAAAATGGGCTAAAAGGGGCAAATCGCCGGTGTAAACATCGTCGAGACTGCAAACTTCGCGAGAGCAAAATTTCCGTAATTTTCCATCAAAATTTTATACTTTTGGTGTCATTATGACGGGAAAAGATTCTCATCTTTTTAAAGAAAATTTTTTTTTTTTTTTTTAAATTTGGCCAACTCGGAGAACAATCTTTGGGGGCCCGTCAACCCTGAAAGGGTTAATTTGTGTGTGAATACCGGGTGACAATGATGATATGCAAAATTTTTTTTATCCATATATAATTAATGATTTCTTGAATTTCATTCTCGCCCCCCCTGGAATGAGTCCCCGCCCCCCCAGGGGGTGCGACCCCCTGGTTGGAACTCCCGTTCAGAAGAAGGGAAAGGGTGCAGTGCTTCATCCCTTTTTCTAGAAGCATTTACCCTTTTAAAACAAAGGGAGAGGGTCACTTAATGAAAAAGCAATTCAATTTAAAAAACAAAAAAAAAAAAAAGCTAAAGAAAATTTTGATTAGAATTGTGTGGGTTTTTTTCGATATAGAAAGCTTTTTTTTTACCCAAAAAGATATTTTAGTCTTATTTATCTGTTTATCCCTTTGGTAATTTTTTTGGTTTGATTTTCCCATTGGAACATTGAATTACAGTAGGGCCCCACTTATAGGCAGGGTTTGGGCCAGGCTACCGCCGTAAAACGGAAATTTCCCTAAAGTGGAAACCCCCTTTTTTTCCACTTATAAATGCATACAAATACATGGACCCCGTTAACGTATTTTTTCACTCCAAAATGTTCAGGTGCCCGTACTGACCCCAATTTTTTTCCCAAAGGAAAAATTTTTGGGAAATAGATTAGTCCATTTTAGACCCCCCAAAAATACACGACAAACGCATTTCTAATTACATTACAAATTTGGGCGCATTCGGAGGTAATCGTTTTGCGGGGGTCCACTGTATAGATAAGTTTTACACAACTATATTAAGTTTTCAATAAACTACGCATCAGAAACAATAAAAAAAACAAGCACACATTGCACTCATTACTTACCTTAAAATATTTATAGTCTTTTTAGGGTAACAATATTTTTATTGTAAGAATCAAGTGGGTATTTGGTATCAGCCGGGTACCATACCAGGCCCCCCCACCTCAAAAATTTTTCTATTACATTTAACCCTTTCGGGGTCCGTGCCGAGATCACGGCTTTACATTCAGGGCCCAAAACCCGAATCTGTCAGAGCTTAGCTCACTCTGATAAACTGTGAGTGGTAACTTTTGGGCCTAGATATGAAAATTACACTATTGGTATGTGTGACCACAAAAACAATCCTGCAGCACACTGTGTAAATGAGAGAAAAAAACCGAGACCTGATTTTCGTTTAAAACAGCGATTTTGCGTGTTTTTTGTATTTTTTTATATTTGTATTTGCGATTTTTTGGTCTCATTTGATAAAGGGAAAAGACATATTACAGAAATAGAGATGATTTTGATTGGTTTTAGCAGGGGAAATGGCTTGAAACTGACTCAAAGTAGCAGAAATTTTAAATTTTTTTGCTGATTTCAAGAGTAAACAAACGCCCTCACACGTTAATACACGCCGCTGGTGGGTCAAATTACTTTACAAATGTGGTGATACATTTTTAAAAATTATTTCAATATTGCATAACATAAACTTTAAATTTTTTTGGGGTTAATAAAAAAATTTATTATGTAATAAAAAAAACAAAATGGGAACTATTTGTAAAGCCTCAAAACATAACTAATAAACAAGGGCGTTTGTTTATGCCGGAATACCCCACATTGTTTTTTCGGACCCCATTTTTAAATTGGGAAAATTTTGATTTGGTTAAATTGGCCAAATTTACAACTTTTGATCACTTTTTTTTGTAAATTGAAAAAAGTTGATTTGGGGATTTTTGTGACAATCGATAGAAAAGAAGTAACACAATAAAAAAGCAAGAATTTTGGTCAACTGGGAAAAATGTAATTGGCCAAAATGGGAGTCAAAGTCGGCAAAATCGCCGATTCGTAAATATCGCTGACACATCAAAATTCGCGAGAGCATAATTTCGTTAATTTTCCATCAAATTTCGTACTTTTTGTTTTATTACCTTCACAAAAAGATTCTCAAGCATTTCATAAGAAAAAATAACTAATTTTTTTTTTTGAAATTCTTGGACACTGGGGCACCACTTCAGATTTTGACCTTGGACCCTGAAAGGGTTAAGCATCCCAGAACGATAAAATGCATATACAGTTTGCTCATTACTTACCGTAAAATATTTATAGTCTTAATCTAGGATGAGACAAGTAGCATTTATTGTAAAAAATCAAGTGTGGTATGTATGGTAGTCAGCTGGGCTACCATACCAGGCCAACCCACCCACACATATATTCTATGATATTTAAGCATCCCAGAGCAATAAAATGTATATACAGTTCACTCATTACTTACCTTAAAATATTTGTTGTCTTAATGTAGGGTCAGGAGTAAGTAAATGAGATAAAACGAATAAATGAGAGAGAGAAAGAATGAGTGCATGAGAGAGGACAGGCGCAGAGTTATGTAAACAAACCAGGGAAGGTAAGTTTTGTAAACAAACAAAGTTCTGGTTTGTGTACAAGTTACATTGTGTACAGGTTGTCTCTACATTGATACGGTAGAATAAATAAAGAAGAACACTCCCATTCTCATGTAACATCATTTTGAGAAGAAATGATGCTATGAGTGAAGGCAATGGAAATAAGTCACTCTGTCTGACTTTTTTGGGTTATCCTAGGTTCTCTACACATATGCTGTTATGTATGATAATCTATGTAACTGTATTTGTGTATGCCTGAATAAACTTACTTACATACATATGAAAGGAATAATTTTCTGCAGTTACCCCCAGTAACACATTTTCTATTGTGTTAGATTAGAGAAAATGTTATTCTTGGCATCACTTGTACAAGTTATCTGGCTACCACATCTCATATTTATGTTTATTTAATCTATTGTGGGGTGTATTTATCATCTTTATATGTTATGTATCATGTTTATTATATAATTTTGAAAAAATATCATGGATGGATTAATGAAAATGTGTATTTTAACGTAATATACGATATTTAATGAGACTTGGTGATTATTATTATTATTATTATTTCTAATATGGCGTCACTTGTGCAAGTCGTCTGCTACCACATCTCATATTTGTTTATTTATTCTACTGCGGGGTGTATTGATCATATTTATATGTTATGCATCGTGTTTATTATATAATTTTGAAAAAATATCATAGATGGATTAATGAAAATGTGTATATTAACTTAATATACGACATTTAAATGAGACTCGGTGATTATTATCATTACTAATATGACGTCTGGAGACAAAGAACGCACTTACTGATTTTAATGTGTACCTGCATGCCAGCACAGTATGTAAGTTTATTTAAGTACAGGTATACATAAGTATAATTATCAGAGTATATATAAAATATGAAATAACTTTTAAAAACACTTAAAATTTTGGAGTTTCCAGACATAATGGAGAGACTTAGTGTTTACAGGTCTCACAGAGAATATAAACAAACTGGGTGGGGCGCTGTGACCGTATTAGAAAGTCAGGTGGGGGGAGCCGTATAACGAGTTTTGGTCATAATTTGAAATGACCGTATTAGCGGAACGCCGTAAAGCGAAACTCCGTAAAGCGGGGCCCTACTGTGTAGGTTGGGCAGCTTTGGCAAAGCTTTGAAAATGTCATATTGACAACCATACCTATTGTTATGCTTCTCATGATAAGCCCTAATCAGGTTACATTACCCAAATAATCCTTTAGCCCCATTAATCTACATTATGAAAATTAAGGACCCTGATTTCATTATCAGTTAATTCTATGATATGAAAACTTAGAGGTGTGCCAAAGTATTGGTTTTGGTGTTTATCAGCATATTTTAGTGGTGTTGATATAGGACTAAAATTGAGTATTGGTATTGTTAAAAATTTTGGTATTGTCCCATTCCTAATTGAAACAGTGATTTGTAATTGCTTTCTCTGAGCCTTCTCCTGAGCCTCAAGATTACTTGTTTGTGAAAATGAAGTAAGGCAGTTTTCTTTGTTTAATTGGGTCTGTCATGTACTGTTATAAAAAAAAGCCGTGGACCACCTCTAGACATTAATTAGACTAGATTTCCTGCTACATTACTCCAGTTAATTTGGCTAAAGTGGATGAAAGGAGTAAGGGATGTTCCAGGAATAGTTGAATGGAGGGTGTAAAGGAGTTTTGAGTGATAGGGTATCCTTAGGTATATGCGAGCCTGTTTGATTAGAGCGAATGGTGACAAGTTTTCTTTTTTTTCAGTTTGACATGTTGGTGTTTAATAATTAATAAACCAACATCTAAAGGGAATTAGGGACAATACAGGGAAGAGCAGTTAGGACTCTTTGAAAGTACTTATGAGCAATTTGAATTTCTTGGAATTAACTTTAAATGGCCTTTTCAGAGGATAAAAAGCCTGCTGGCGACAAGCCAGCAGCTGGAGAAAAGCCGAAGCCAGCAGCTGGAGAAAAGCCAAAGCCAGCAGCTGGAGACAAGCCAAAGCCAGCAGCTGGAGATAAGCCGAAGCCAGCAGCTGGGGATAAGCCAAAGCCGGCAGCTGGGGATAAGCCAAAGCCGGCAGCTGGAGATAAGCCAAAGCCGGCAGCTGGAGATAAGCCAGCCACTGGAGCAAAGGGAGGAGCTGGAGCAAAGGGAGGAGCTGGAGCAAAGGGAGGAGCTGGAGCAAAGGAAGGTGGGGCAAAGGGAGGAGCTGGAGCAAAGGGAGGAGCTGGAGCAAAGGGAGGAGCTGGAGCAAAGGGAGGAGCTGGAGCAAAGGGAGGAGATGGAGCAAAGGGAGGAGATGGAGCAAAGGGAGCTGCTGGAGCAAAGGGAGCTGCTGGAGCAAAGGGAGCTGCTGGAGCAAAGGGAGCTGCTGGAGCAAAGGGAGCTGCTGGAGCAAAGGGAGCTGCTGGAGCAAAGGGAGCTGCTGGAGCAAAGGGAGCTGCTGGAGCAAAGGGGGCAGCTGGAGCAAAGGGAGCAGCTGGAGCAAAGGGAGCTGCCGGTGCAAAGGGCGCTGCAGGGGTAAAGGGGGCTGCCGGGGCAAAGGGGGCTGCTGGAGCAAAGGCAGCACCTGGAGCAAAGGGCGCTGCTGGAGCCAAGGCATCAGCTGGGTCTAAGCCAGCTGCTGGTGCCACTGGTGGTGCCAAGGGAGCTGCATCTAAAGCATCTGCTGGTAAACCTGCCACTGGTGCAAAGAGACCAGCAGGTTCTGGACCCAAGGGCCCTGCTGCTAAGAAGGTTGCAGGCGCAGGAGCAGGTGCTGGTGCACCCAAAAAGGGTGTGCCAAAAAAAAAGCCTGGAGTGAAAGGGCCAGCTGGAAAGGGTGAAAGAAAGGGTCAAAGAAAGGGTCCTGCAAAGGCTGGAACCAAAGGAGCTGTTGCTAAGAAGCAGGGAACACGAGTGAAGAAGGCTGTAGGCAAGAAACCTAAAGGGAAGGAAGCTCCTCGTCCTAAGGTTGGAGTAAAGAAATTGACTGTTGCAGCCTCCAAGGCCAGAAGAGCAAAGGGGGTTAAAGGAACCAAGAAATTTGCAGTGAAGAAAGCCATGAAATTTGCCATTAAGGTATGTTCAGCCTTGAAAATAGTTAAGCTATTTTTTTCTTTATCCTGCAAGCCAAAAGTAATGTTAATGTTATCTGATGCTTGCTATTTTGATGTATGGTTTCATGAACTTTTTGGTTGCAATTATTATTTCGGTTACTGTTTCTTTTAAAAGTATAATCTGTGTTACTTAATTCTTGTTATATAGTGTTGCATATTCTCACTACAGATTGATAATCTGATTGATAAAACAGTAGCCAGTGTGGATGGAAATTTATATTTCATATTTTCAGGCTTTCAATATCATTTTGCATATTTAAGTTTGTCTTAATGTACATGTACTTGGAAACCATGCAGGAGGGCCCTGCTTTACAATGCTTCACTTAACAGCATTTTGCTAATGCAGCAGTTTGCAGTTATATATTTTTTTATTTTTTTTTTTTTATTATCACACTGGCCGATTCCCACCAAGGCAGGGTGGCCTGAAAAAGAAAAACTATCACCATCATTCACTCCATCACTGTCTTGCCAGAAGGGTGCTTTACACTCCAGTTTTTAAACTGCAACATTTACACCCCTCCTTCAGAGTGCAGGCACTGTACTTCCCATCTCCAGGACTCAAGTCCGGCCTGCCGGTTTCCCTGAACCCCTTCATAAATGTTACTTTGCTCACACTCCAACAACACGTCAAGTATTAAAAACCATTTGTCTCCATTCACTCCTATCAAACACGCTCACGAAATGCCTGCTGGAAGTCCAAGCCCCTCGCACACAAAACCTCCTTTACCCCCTCCCTCCAACCTTTCCTAGGCCGACCCCTACCCCGCCTTCCTTCCACTACAGACTGATACACTTTTAAAGTCATTCTGTTCGCTCCATTCTCTCTACATGTCCGAACCACCTCAACAACCCTTTCCACCCTCTGGACAATAGTTTTGGTAATCCCGCACCTCCTCCTAACTTCCAAACTACGAATTCTCTGCATTATATTCACACCACACATTGCCCTCAGACATGACATCTCCACTGCCTCCAGCCTTCTCCTCGCTGCAACATTCATCACCCATGCTTCACACCCATATAAGAGCTTGGTAAAACTAAAACTCTCATACATTCCCCTCTTTGCCTCCAAGGACAAAGTTCTTTGTCCCCCACAGACTCCTAAGTGCACCACTCACCCTTTTCCCCTCATCAATTCTATGATTCACCTCATCTTTCATAAAACCCATCCGCTGACACGTCCCACTCCCAAATATCTGAATACATTCACCTCCTCCATACTCTCTCCCTCCAATCTGATATCCAATCTTTCATCACCCAATCTTTTTGTTATCCTCATAACCTTACTCTTTCCTGTATTCACCTTTAATTTTTCTTCTTTTGCACACCCTACCAAATTCATCCACCAATCTCTGCAACTTCTCTTCAGAATCTCCCAAGAGCACAGTGTCATCAGCAAAGAGCAACTGTGACAACTCCCACTTTGTGTGTGATTCTTTATCTTTTAACTCCACGCCTCTTGCCAAGACCCTTGCATTCCACTTCTCTTACAACCCCATCTATAAATATATTAAACAACCACGGTGACATCACACATCCTTGTCTAAGGCCTACTTTTACTGGGAAATATTTCCCTCTTCCTACATACTCTAACTTGAGCCTCACTCTCCTCGTAAAACTCTTCACTGCTTTCAGTAACCTACCTCCTACACCATACACCTGCAACATCTGCCACATTGCCCCCCTATCCACCCTGTCATACGCCTTTTCCAAATCCATAAATGCCACAAAGACCTCTTTAGCCTTATCTAAATACTGTTCACTTATATGTTTCACTGTAAACACCTGGTCCACACACCCCTACCTTTCCTAAAGCCTCCTTGTTCATCTGCTATCCTATTCTCCGTCTTACTCTTAATTCTTTCAATAATAACTCTACCATACACTTTACCAGGTATACTCAACAGACTTATCCCCTATAATTTTTGCACTCTCTTTTATCCCCTTTGCCTTTATACAAAGGAACTATGCATGCTCTCTGCCAATCCCTAGGTACCTTACCCTCTCCATACATTTATTAAATAATTGCACCAACCACTCCAAAACTATATCCCCACCTGCTTTTAACATTTCTATCTTTATCCCATCAATCCCGGCTGCCTTACCCCCTTTCATTTTACCTACTGCCTCACGAACTTCCTCCACACTCACAACTGGCTCTTCCTCACTCCTGCAAGATGTTATTCCTCCTTGCCCTATACACGAAATCACAGCTTCCCTATCTTCATCAACATTTAACAATTCCTCAAAATATTCCCTCCATCTTCCCAATACCTCTAACTCTCCATTTAATAACTCTCCTCTCCTATTTTTAACTGACAAATCCATTTGTTCTCTAGGCTTCCTTAACTTGTTAATCTCACTCCAAAACTTTTTCTTATTTTCAACAAAATTTATATATCCATTCATTTATTCAGACTTCCTACAGTAAATGTGTTCACCACTCACTATAAGCTAGGGATGAAAATATTTTAAGGTAAGTAATGTGTGCTCTGTATATGTATTTTTTAGCCCTAGCTCTATTGCTCACTTAATATATGATAGTGTATACATGTTAACAGGCTTTTATATGCATTTGAAAGTGAAAAAGGCTAGATTTCACTTAACGATTTTTGCTTTACAGCCTAGCCCAGAACCTAACCTGCTGTATAAGTAGAACCCTCCTGTACTTGAGACATTACATCCTACTTTTAATATGCCCTGATATCTGTTAAATTCTTTCAAATTTGAATAGCTTACCTGTTTAGTCCTTTAAGCCATATTCTCAGCAATATACATTTATGCAAAAATTATAGTGTATTAGTAAATATTTTCCCTGTTAATGTTTTTAAATGAAAAGATTACTCTTTATTATAGGTCATAAAAGGAATTCATGGAACACGTGTTAAGAAAATCAGAACCTCTGTTCGCTTTCGCCGGCCCAAGACCCTGAGATTGCCGCCTAATCCCAAGTACCCTCGCCGCTCTGTTCCTCGGAAGAGCAAGTAAGCAAGCAGTAGGGAAAATTATAAACATTTTTAAGACAAAAAATGTATTGGAGAAATTTAAATGTAACTAGAGAAAGTGGGAACATTAACCACATTACTGCAAAGTTGTTTATTTTGTGCTATATCTGCAGCGTCCTACCAAGGTAAGGTGGCTCAGAAGCATGTTTGCTAAAACACTTATTGGTTGTCTAGCTAGTAGTATGTAGGCATCACAGTTCTTATGACCCCCTGAGCTGCACCATCCCCACCTGTCATTCAGAGTGCACGCAGTAAACTTCTGTCGTCTAGAACTCAAATCTGGCTAACTGGTTTCCTGAATTCATTCTTAAAATTACCTTTCTTACCCTCAACAGCATGTCAGATACTCAAGGATGTGTTTTATTATACTAGCTAACCCAGTTTTTCCCTTCCCAAATCATACTTCCTTGGGTCAGATCTATCCATTGTGAAGGCATCCAGCCAACTAACTTTGTTAATAAGTATGTGGTTAAGAGAACACCCACAATCTTTTAATCATTTTCCTCCTCCAGAGTGCATACACTGTACTTCCACCTCCAGGACTCAAGTTGGCTACCCATTTTCCCAGAATCCCTTTGTAAATGTTACCTTGCTCACAGTTAGCAGCACAGCATCATAAAAAAAAAAACCACTTGCCTCCACTCCTGTTTTAACATGCTGATATATGCCTTGTGGATATTCATTTCCCTTGCATACAAAACCTTAAACCCCTCCCTCCAACTTTTCCCAGGAAAATCAACCCCTACCTTGCCTTTCCTCCACTACAGCATTACACCTTCCAAGTCATCCTGTTTTCCTCCATCCTCTCCTCTAAATGTCCAGACCACTTCAACACCACCTCCTCAGCCTTCTTGGATAATACTTTAAGTAACCCTGCACCTCTAATCTTCAAAATAATTTTTGTTTTTTTCAACAATCCAGCTGTATCCCACCGAAAATACCAAATTTTCTACATAATATTCACCACAAGTTGCCTTCAGACATGAAACCTCCACTGCCTCCATCCTCCTCCTCCTCTGCAACATTCAAAACCCATGCTTCACACCCATATAAGAGTATTGGTACCACTATACTCGGATACATTCCACTTTTTGCTTCCATGGGTAATGTTCTTTGCTCCTTTCCTACATTCACTTTAATTTCCTTCTTTTACATTCCCTTCCAAATTGTCCATCTATCTTTGGAACTTCTTTTTAGAATCTCCTAAAAGCACTTTGTCATTGGTGTTCCCCACTAATGTAATAATAATATTTCTCTAAATAATACATATCTGGCAAATATCTTAAGTGTTCCTCATATGTCAAAGCACTCTTCAAATGTCACCTCTTCCTTCTCCCCATTCTTTCTGGAACTATAATTGGAATAGGGTGTATGATTAGTTCAAGGCTGGCATTGACATTGGTTATGAAGAAAGACCATTTGGATTCTTGTTTTTATAAGATATTTTGATTGCAAAACTGGTTTAAGAATAATTTACATTTTAAGGTATATACTTTGTCCTTTGCTGGAGTGGAAATCAAGTACAGGACAGTGTTATCTCGAGTTTCGAACAGCTCCCAACTTTAACAGTTATGCAAGTGTATTTTTGTAAGTGCTTTGTAAGTGTATTTTTAGGGGTCTGAAATGGGTTAATCTAATTTACAGTATTTCTTATGGGAACAAATTCGTTTGGTATTGGCACTTGAACAGCCTTCTGGAACCAATTAAGTTCGTAACTCGAGGTACCACTATATTTAAATTCAGATTAAAGCTCAGCAGTTAAGAGATTAGATCAAGAGCTGGAGCTCACTTCTTAAAACTCAAGTAAGTACTTATCTTAAAACTGCCGCATAATAGTATTTGTTGGAAAACTAGTTATAACTTTGTACTGCATTTGTATTAATTAGAGTAATGAACAGGATGCTAAAACTGTACCTTTTCTTCAGGTTGGATGCTTTTAACATCATTAAGTACCCTTTGACTACAGAATCTGCCATGAAAAAGATTGAAGATAACAACACTTTAGTATTTATTGTTCACCGGCTTGCCAACAAGCATCAGATAAAGTCTTCAGTTAAAAAGGTAAGGAACTATTATCTTATTTGCATAAGCACCAACAAGCTCATATATTTTATTTTTAATGTTAATACTACTTAGGCATTTGTGCCCTGACGATATCCCTCCCAAGAATGAATGGCCTCATGAGTGCTCCATATGGTATATATTTTTACATTGCTCATCTGTTGTACAATTTTAAATAATTGTCTGTTAGTATAGCTCCAAAACAAAAAATCCTGGCAGAACACTTTTTTTTTTTTAATTAGATACCACTGAATGGGGACCTTTAAGACAATACCTGAATTTTTTTCCCTTTTTTTTTTTCCATTCCTCAGTTTTTATTTTTCATAACTTGAGAAGGCTTCATACAATGGGCTTCAAGATTTCAACACTTGTGCATGGTCACTGAGGCCAGTTTTATGGAACAGTTGGTATGTACAGGACCAGGGTTATTGAATTCATTCCTAGCATCCTGGAATGAACAACTTTCAAAACCTTGTGGTGTAAAAAAAAAAAAAAAAACTCAATGATGCTACTTGGGAGTTTGTTCCACTCATCCACAGCTGTTTCCAAACCAGTGTTTTCCTATATCTTCTAAATTTTAATTTTTTTCCATTTTGAACCCATTGCTTTAGAGTCCTGTCTTGGTTAGATATTTTTAGCACATTATTTATATCACCTTCATTCCTGTCTTCCCCCTGAAGGGAAGTTCCTTGATGCTGGTGAGGGGCTCTTGATCTAGGGAATTGGATCTGTGCTCCAGTTCCCTGAATTAAGCCTGAATACCTTCCATCCCCCCACGGGTGCTATAATTCTACAGGTTTAGTGCTTTCCCATGATTATAATAATTCCTGTCTTCCTTTTATATACCTCGATCATATTCCCCTCTAATTCTTCACCTTTCCAGAGTGCAGATTCATCAGTGCCCTCAGTCTTTTCTTGAAGGAAAGATTTCTGATACACAGGATCAACTTTGTCATCCTCTGTTTTCCAGTGCATTTATGTCCAATGTAATATGGTGACCAGAGCTGCACAACATAATCTAAATGAGGGATTACCAAGGCCTCTATTTATTTTATTTTTATTAACACACCAACCGTTTCCCACTGAGGCAGGGTGGCCTGTAAAGAAAAACTTTAGTCATCATTCACTCCATCATTGCCTTGCCAGAGGTGCACTCACACTAGTTATAAAACTGCAACATTACCACCACTCCTTCAGAGTGCAGGCACTGTACTTCCTATCTCCAGGACTCTAAGTCTGATCTGCCAGTTTCCCTGAATCCCTTCATGAATGTCCTTGCTCACACCAATACCCCTCAAGGGAGGTTCCTTGACACTGATGAGAGGCTCTTGATCTAGGGAATTGGATCTATGCTCTGGTTCCCTGAATTGAGCCTTAATACCTTCCATATTCCCCCCACATGTGCTGTATAATCCTACAGGTTTAGTGCTTCCCCATAATTGCAATAATAATCACACTCCGATAGAACGTCAAGTCCTAAAAACCATTCATCTCCATTCGCTCATATCTAACACGCTCAAGCACGCTTGCTGGAAGTTCAAGCCCCTTGCACACAAACCCTCCTTTACCTCTCCCTCCAATCTTTCCTAGGCTGACCCCTACCCTGTCTTCCCTCCACTCTTATTTTTACTTAGTAATATTATTTATACTTAGTAATATTATTTATACAGTGGACCCCCAGTTAACGATATTTTTTCATTCCAGAAGTATGTTCAGGTGCCAGTACTGACCGAATTTGTTCTCATAAGGAATATTGTGAAGTAGATTAGTCCATTTCAGACCCCCAAACATACACGTACAAACACACTTACATAAATACACTTACATAATTGGTCGCATTGGGAGGTGATTGTTAAGCGGGGGTCCACTGTACTTAGTAATATTATTTATACTTAGTAATATGAAGCCAGGAAGTCTATTAACTTTATTGCAAACACTTATTGCACATTTATCTTGGCTTCAGATTACTGCCAAACAGAACACTTAAATACTTCTTGTATTCAGAGTGATTTGAGATTTACATTAATGAGTTTATAAGTACCATGGTTATTCTCTTTTCCCAGTCTTAGAACCTTACATTTGCCTACATCAAACTGCATTTGCCACTTCTCCCACCACTACATCAACCTATCCAGATCTTCCTGTAGTGCTCTAGTATCTTCATCAGAATTCATCTGATGGCCTATTCTAGTGTCATTGGCAGGGTGGTAATGTGGAATTATTGTTTGATTTTGCAGTTCATGAACTCTTAATTTTATAGCAACTAATGAAATTTCTTTTCCTTTATGTAATAATAATTATATTATTATCACTTATTATTATGATTATTATAATAATCATAATAAGCTTAGGAGTAGAAATAGTGGAAAATTAGTGTTTTTTACTGTGGAGAGATTGAGAGAATTTTTCTCAAAAGTAAGTTATTCTCCTATTAGTAAAATTTTCTTCATTACTTATGAATGCATTATGATTTTTACACACATTATTCAGGAATCATGGTTGTACAATCCCATGAAAGGAATTTGTAATAGCCTTTACTGTTTGTCTTATTTTAAAATACCAACAACAAAAAATTTACCAAATTAAGAATTTTGGGAGATATATACAGTATAATGTGTTTTTCACTGACAATGACAGTGACAATGTCATTGTTACTTTGTTTTTAGCCTTTACTCATTCACATAAGGTCAACTACAACATTAGCAATTTAGCACAAATTTTACCAAGGTGTTGCCATATTTTTGAGCAAACTTCATGAAACTTCGAGTTTACACTTCAAACCACTTTCTTAACTTATGATAAAAACAAAATCATTGAAACTGGACTATTATTAAAAATTTTCCTAGTTGAATCCATTTCCCCCTTTTAAATTATTTTAGGCCACAGTAAACTGCGGATAATTGAAACTGGAAACTGAACCCGTGGATATGGGGGTTCTGCTGTACATTTGAATAACTGTATTGAAGTTGCTTCCTCAGATCTGCAGCACTATTTGAAAAGTTTCTATTTTTATGTCTCAAATGCTTGTAGAATGTTGCATACTACTTCTTGTAAAAAAAATAGTACAGCCTCTCCTCACATAGCAATGTACTCGTTTACTGACACCTCAGACTTATGACGAGCTCTCTGACCAGTATGCATACCTAAATGGTGTATATTAGAGCTGATTTCCTCTATTCTGTTTTATTACAATATACAGTACACTACTGTATAAATATTTAAAATCTACTAAAAATGTTATAAATGGTGCATAGGTGACATTAAAATATCAAATGATATACAATACCGACAGGTTGGTAGATAAAACACATAGGCAACATTTAGGCAACTTTATTCCAAAACGTTTCGCCTACACAGTAGGCTTCTTCAGTCGAGTACAGAAAGTAGGCGGGAGCAGTAGAGATGTGAAGACAATGTAATCAGTCCATCACCCTTGAAGTCATAGATTTGAGGTTGTCAGTCCCTCAGCCTGGAGAAGTTCTGTTCCAAAGTCTGGAACTAACTGAAGATCAAGTGACAGTGTTGAGACTTAAATACTGTCCGAAGGAGAGGTGCAGAGTAGTAGTAGTGAGAATGTAGCCACTGAGAGGTCACGTCCATCTCAGATCAAACAATTCTCACTTGAAAAAGGTGTCCAAGGTGTTTTCTGTACCAAGATGCTATTGTGTTGCAGTGTCTGACAGAGTGAATATCAATGGCATCTTGGTACAGAAGAGAAAACACCTTGGACAACTTTTTCAAGTGAGAATTGTTTGATCTGAGATGGACGTGACCTCTCTGTGGCTACATTCACCACCACCAACCACCACCACCACCCACCACCTCCTCCTCCTCCTCCTCCTCCTCCTCCTCCATCACCACCACCACCTCCTCCTCCACCACCACCACCTCCTCCTCCACCACCACCACCACCACCACCACCACCACCTCCTCCTCCTCCTCCTCCTCCTCCTCCTCCTCCTCCTCCTCCTCCTCCTCCACCACCACCACCACCACCGCCACTACTACTACTACTACTACTACTACTACTACTACTACTACTACTACTACTACTACTACTGCTGAGGCCTCGACTGACTCCTTCGATTTATCTGACCTTCGCTCTCCTCTGACTATGCTTCCGGCCTCTCCCTCTATGGTGCGGCAATTTTCGAATCGCCGGCCCGTTCCACGTCGGGCCAACTCTGGTCCCACGCCTAAACGACAACGACAATTACCTGCTGATGATACTTCTCCACCTTCTCGTTCTTCTCAGAAAAGATAGACACGTCCTTCACTACCTTTCCACGCTCAGTTTCAGACTGCACAGTGGACTAAATTCTTCACTTTACGACTGACTTCCTCTACTGCCTATCTTTCTGACCACAGTATTGGCAAGGCACTCCTACGCCATGTTGGTAAAGATATTTCTTTTCATGCTCTTAAGAGCGGTACGCGCATCGTCACAGTACAGAATGCTACCCAGGCTCATGAACTTTCTCGTCTTTCCCATATCGATACTGTTCCTGTAACTATTGAAAAGCATCATTCCTTCAATTCTTGTAGTGGTACCATCATTCTGCCCCATACCATAGTTCAACAAAATTTCCAGACATGTGGCACTGACATTCTTGAACAGCTGGAACTCCAAGATCTCCCAATCCTCAAGGTAGACACTTAGGTTCTTCCTGCCCGCGGGCGGAGACGATACCCTAGCAATGTGGCTCGTTTAACTTTTGACAGCCGTGAACTCCCATCCTCAGTTTATGTAGCAGGACATCGGTTACAAGTTCGAAAGGTGATCCCTACACCGCAACAGTGTAGAAATTGCTGGCGATTTGGCCATCCAGTCTGTGGTGCCAATGACCATTCTAATACGTCTTGCAATCGACCTCCCTCTTGCCTTAATTGTCATGAGGCTCACCCTTCGTACTCTCGCCATTGTCAAGTCTACTTAAACGAGCGGGAAATCCGTTACCTCAGAGGCAGAAGGTCTCCCTTATGCCATGGCAGTTTCTCAT